TACAAGATGAAACGCTAAAAATACAAATGTATAGCTCATAATGTAGAATTAAGAAAATGTTTCAACTTCCATGTATAGCAACGCTCACTTTGGATTTATCAACTGCTTTGCATTTAATTTAAAACTTCCTTAAGTATCTCTGTTTTTTTGTCAACAATAAACGAAAACAAAGTCTTATGAATATTTATTTGAGAAATATTCAAAATTAATTTTAATCCATGAATGATGCGTGTTTTTAATTTTTCGGTCTTTTGATTGGCAAACACTTTCAGGAAAATAACGTGTTTTTTGAATAATTTGCAAAATGGCGGAAAATTTTATCTCACTTCAAATTTTTGAAATCATTTAATTTCTCATTTACACCAGATTTTGTCAAACAAACTGTTTATTGGCAATCTAGAGCATGGCAAAACAATCATTAAGTTAATAGGAACAATTTTAATATAGCAGACAATGTAAAATTCTTTCGATGAACTTTTTTGCAAGATCATGCTAACATTCCTCAATTGATTGTCTTATCTTTTTACGCTGATCGCTATCCATATACAACTGTTAGTTTGAACAGCTCGGTTTACGTCGTACAACGTTTTTATCTTCTCTTCTTATATTTCTGATCCTATCCTGTACACAATTTAAATTGAGAATGTGCCACGAATAATTGATTGGAGTTTTTTTTTATGTTTGACCAAATCTGAAGTAGCTTGCCTGCCAGAAAACAATAAATGCTAATTTATAGCTTATTTTAAGACCTGTTAAGTATGGAGTGAGCTTGAGGGCACTCATTTACTATCAGTTTTATTGATACTGTATTCGATTGATTGATTGGAGATTATAATTTATTCTCAGCCATTTTCACGTGCTGTGACCTCGTGAACTCATTTACTCATTCCTACTCACTGCTAAATAGTGGATAATTTTCAAGTCAAAAAAAAGTCTGAAATTGGTGTTAAAAGTCTCCTTCCTTATCACCCAGTCAATTTGCCTCCATCTACGCACTCAATTTCTCAAAAATAAAATCATTTCATCTTATCAATGTCAATCAATACTATGTGAAACAATAACAAATTGTATGTTTACTACTCGTGTGAACCCAAAAAAACCGTAATGGAAAGGAAACGAAAATGAATTGCACGAACAAAAATATATACATATCGTTCATGTACCTGTCTACGAAACTGCTGATAACGCTTGCTACATTTAAAATAAAACTCAAGATTGTTTAATATCGACGTGTGTTATCAGCACAATTTACAAGTAGAGAGTAATTGTGCTGTAAAAAAATAAAAGCGGGAAACACATTTTCATTACATGCAACTTATGGATGTGATGTAAGAGTCAAAGTTACTTATCAGGTTTAATTGATGAGTGAAGTCGTTAAAGTTTCATTATCGTGACTTCTTCCATGACGAACTAGCTTTTTTAAATAATTGATTTTAGAAATGCACTAAAATTTTAACAAGAAATCGTGCATTTAAAGTTTTCAGAAAACCTTGAACTAAATATAAACAATCGACTTATTTCCGATAAATCTTATCAGCTTTCCTGCATTTTTAATTCGGGGATTCTATATTCAACGAAAATCAAAATTTATCAACAGCATTGGATTTAAGTAAACACCTTTCGTAAAAGTACAGTAGCTAAATCCACAAGCAATTGATAAGAACAACAACAACAATTGTTGGTTTTTAAATTGAATTATATTCAATTGTAAGGATGAAGCTTCAATGGCGTTAAGAACTTAAATTAGAGTTCTTGTGGTTTTGATTTGTTTGATTTATTTGTATATAATTTTACAATTGAGATACAAAATATAAATTCTTATAACTAGCTAATCACATTACATTTTATTAATTTCACTATAAGATTCTTAAAAATGCTCCTTTATTCTAGTTTTAAATATATTTAATGAGACTTTATTCTTAACCAATGAAGGTATAGAATTAAATAAATTAAATGCTCTAACGTAAAAATCCTGATTGCTTAAGTGCGTTTGATAGTTTGGAGTTACAAAATTTTCTCGGGTACGCGTTCGATATCTATGAACATCATTGACTTGTCTAATCTGAATGTTATTCTTAACCATATTCGATGATATTTTAAAAACATGCAAGCAAAGATTGACGTTACAATTGTTATTTCTATTTATTTCCTGGTTATTTGAGCATCCAGAATATCCTAATTTCTTCCCTGGATTAATTGAATACGTAGAAACTTGAACTCTTAACAGAAGTACTTGATTGTTATTAAAATAGATCAAATTTATTGTTTACTCAGTGGATTACCCTATTCTTGGAAATATCTTATCGCATGCATGTATTATCAGATGTACTTAAAGATATTATTGTTGATATTATTAAAAGGAATTGAAAGTAATTCATTCTATAAAGCTTTATAGATTGATATATTACATAAATTAATTGGCTACTAAAAATGGTAAATTTTTGAAAGCGCACAGTAGTGAAAAGCTTTACTTATTTTTTTTGCATGAGACTTTATTGATAGGACAGTAATTATGTACAGAAAAAGGCAACTAATTGACAATTTAAACGATCGCTACATGGCATATTGGCATATTTCAATTTTAGCTCAAAAATATATACACAAGATCCGATTATAAAGAAATACATATAAAGCGAGTGCTCATTTTAGATGCCCATAATAAGCTGTCATGTCAATATCCATTCGCAAGAGATTATTATTATTTGTTTCTTCTTCTTCTTCCTCCTTTTTTTTTTCTTACTCAAAGAGATGTCGAACAGCTGGTCAAATAAGCTTCCACACACAAAAAGATATAAGTTCCAATAAAATGAATTTGCATCGATAATCAGTAGAAAATTGACACGACAGTTTGCAAGAACTTTATATGGTCATCATATCCATCTGTACGTAACAAACCTGATTTCTCTCCAAAAAAATGCTTTTTTTTTCGGGAATAATGGTTATAAATGTTAACACACATAAGATGATGTACCACCTACTCAATATTTATTGTTGCTCGACAAAAAAAATAGAAATAATCACAATGAATGACAGAAAACCCATCCGCACAGATGACCTCAAATATCCGTAAAGACTGGTTTTTCTGGTCCACGCGCGCGCGAACATCACATTACTCGCAAAAAATATATATAATAATAATAATAAAACTGGCCTCGCGCACAAAATAAATGTCGGAGATCATGCAGAAAAAGCAAGTGGAAAAGAAATGAAAAGTATGCGTTACTCACAAATCGTTCATCAATATTTTTTTTATGCTGTAGTAATTAAGAAGCGAGAAAAATAAGATTTAAGTCAGGAATAAGACACATGGGTGTCGATCTATGTCATGGTTTAAATAAATCGCGTCAAACGGAAGTGAAACGACAAGAAATACTTGTCATCTATTAGAAAAGAGAAGTTGTGACGGACACTCTTGCTTCTTCTGCATGACATACAATGTAGCAAATTGCGTAGGTGCCTCACATGATAGAAATTCATCTTTTAATGAGTGAAATCTTTACGTTGATTTATTTTTATGAATGGTATGTCGGACTTGGCGCGAAACCTCATCGTCGCATGACCCTGAATGAAATTCTCATTCCTTAAAGACTTCTTATTTTAGGTTTTTTTTTTTCTTTTCTTGTTTTTGTAATTTCTGCATTGAGAGCCAAGATTTCTATTTGTGTACGAAAAAGTCAATAAATAAATAAAATCACAATTTATTGCTCCTTCTCTCACGACTGGTTTAGTTGAATGTCGAGGAGGTTTAGACAATCTTTAAGTGACCAGATCAGCTGATTGAGCAAAGTTCAGATTGACTCTAAAGATAATTCAGCTATGGTGAAATCAAGTTGCTTCTAATCATCGAAATGATTTTTTTTGGATGTTCTTTTTAATTTGTTAAATATGTAAATGTCATTTGGATATTAATTAGTGCTCGTGTAAGAAATTTGTTAAAGTCTTTTGTCTCGTCTGCGATTTAAAATCTTCGTATCATGTCCTAAGATCATTTGTCAAAATTCTTGTTAACATTCGTTCCAAATATTCTTGTTTTAAGCAGATTTCCTCAAGCAGACGAAAAAATTTCCTCATAAGAGTGTCCAAGACTCTTGGCATTAGTTCGAGCGTTGTCATTTGTAGATTCTTTTTTTTTCTCTCTTTTAAAAATTTAAAAGTCGTAGTCACTCTGGCTGCAAATGAAACTCGCTAACGAATCATTCAATTTACATGCTGTTCCTTTATATAATTCTCATCTCTCATTGTCGTGGGATGATAAATGAATTCAGTAAGAAGTATTTACATAAAGTTTTAGTAAATCACATTGCCTTTTAAAGAATGAATTTATTTAAGAGATTTACGTATGCTCGCATATTCGGCACTTGGACATTGTCGGGAAGTGTGCTCTTTAAGGTTGAGATCACAATCTTTGTGAGTTAATCGACGATAAATGTAAATTGATTAAAGAAAAATAAATAATTTTCAGCTTCTGTTTCTGTTGAATGAAATCAAAATGAATGTTGAAGAGAAGTGAAGCAAGTGGGGGGAATGAAATTCATAAATACAACTCATTTTGAATAAACGAAATAGAGAAGAAGTTATCGATAGTGTGAAAGAAACTTCCACATTCAACTTCCGTTTGAATTGAAAAATAATGTTTTCTTCTTTTTCTATTTTTGATAACTATTTAAGAATGAGTTGCGTGATCAATGTGTGGAGGAATGTACTATCATTATAGGCTATGCATATGAAAAGATCAATCGGCTGTTTGATCTGTTTTAAATCACTTCATTAGTACAGTAATCAGTATCGACTGATGATGATATTTAAATTTTCTAATTTCTGATCTTTCTCTTGGAAATGGAACAGGATGATATTCGGCGCCTCTTTATGAACTTCCGTTTTTCTATATTTAATTCTTAAAAAATTGTTGCGTAACACATTCTCTTAAACCTTCTCCATTTTAAGATTCTTGAATTGAAATTCAAACTTACTAAATTCTTAAATTTTGTTTATTATTACAGGACTCAGTTGCTACTGTGAAGGTCACTGCCCAACAACCACACAAAATGGAACATGTGAAGTTAAACAAGGTGGACAATGCTTTTCAATGGTAGAGGAAGTATATGATGAAACAACAGGACAAATGGAGGCGGAATATTCATTTGGATGCATATCAGCCGATCAAGGCAGTTCTCTCCTACAGGTACTTAACATGAAAATTTATATCCACTTTATAGTGACTTCTAGATCTGTCATTAACTGATGTTTGATTTATGGGAATTCGAGAATTTATAGATCTTAAGTTCTAGTAGCCTACATATCAATCTTATGCTGCATCACTAATTTTATTTATTTTCTAATTCACAGTGCAATGCTGGAAAGTCAGCACAAATCCACGGAACAAACATACTTTGTTGTTCAGACGGTGATTTTTGTAATAAAGACAAATTTCCAGATTACACACCTCGATCAACCACCGCCTCACCGATCGATAATGTTCAACCTGCTGTATCTTCAAATATACCCTACATCGTGCTATTCTCATCGATGCTAGTTTGTTTAGGAGTCTTCATGCTTATCATTCTCTTTGTATATATATCATTTAAGAGACGTGAAAATAAAAGAAAACGACGAAATCAAAGACTGATGGAACCTAATTGGAATGGTCAAGCTGCAGCTCACTTATCGCCGTTGGCTAATTTAGTAGAACAAAGTTCAGGAAGTGGCAGTGGATTGCCATTATTAGTACAACGAACGATTGCCAAACAAATTCAAATGGTTGAATCTATTGGAAAGGGACGATATGGTGAGGTATGGCTTGCGAAATGGCGTGATGAGAAAGTAGCTGCAAAGGTTTTCTTTACAACTGAAGAGGCATCATGGTTCAGAGAAACAGAAATCTATCAAACAGTGCTAATGCGTCATGACAATATTTTGGGCTTCATCGCTGCTGATATTAAAGGAACAGGTTCATGGACGCAAATGTTATTAATAACCGATTATCATGAGTTGGGATCATTACATGATTATCTTCAGAAACGTGTCTTAAATCCACAAATGTTGAAAGTATTAACATTCTCATTGTCATCGGGCTTAGCACATTTGCATACAGAGATTTTCGGCACACCCGGCAAGCCAGCTATTGCTCATCGTGATTTGAAATCGAAAAATATTCTCGTTAAAAATAATGGACAGTGTGCGATCGCTGATTTCGGTAAGTTCAATCACATTCTTTTATGCCTCAAATATTTTCATGAAGCTAATAAATTTTTTTTATGTTCCATTTTATTAGGACTTGCTGTCAAGTACACATCGGAATCGGATGAGATTCAAATAGCACCAAATTCACGAGTTGGAACGAGAAGATATATGGCACCAGAGGCTCTGGACCAAACGATGGATACGAAATCATTTGAAGCATTTAAAATGGCTGATATGTATTCATTAGGCTTAGTCTTCTGGGAAATGTGCAGACGATGCATAACAACAATTCAGTCTACGAAAAATACAACATGTGAGGATTATGCACTTCCTTATCACGATGTAGTTCCTTCCGATCCAAGCTTTCAAGATATGTACGATGCTGTATGTATGAAAGGCATTCGACCACCTGTGCCTCAAAGGTAAATTTATTTGAAGATCATTTTTAAAGAGATTTTTTGTTTAAAATTTTTTATTTTAATTTTTTCAACAGATGGACACAGGAAGATGTTCTTGGGATGCTCTCAAAGATCATGCAAGAGTGCTGGCATCCAAATCCAGCTGTACGTTTAACAGCACTTCGTGTCAAAAAGTCACTCAATAAACTAGATGCAGACGTTAAAATTAACTTAGTGTAATATTCTGAATTTTTTTTTGTTAATTAATTCATTTCCTTTGGTATGGATGCATGTGCTGAATTGTTGTAAAATGACTGTTAAATTTTGAAGAGAAAATGTGTCAAAAATCTTTGATAGTGTTAGTGTAATAATTTAAAAATTTAACGCTTTTTTTTACAAATTCAAACACATGCAGACATACCAAATTCCTCATCCAATTTACTTGTTTGTTGACATTTCTGTAATTTTAATTAAAAAAATTGACTTAGGGGCCGTTCACTTATGACGTTCAGGGGGGGGGGGGGGTCAGCAAGAAAAGAACAATAGAAATTCCAGGAAATCCATTGTTTTTTTTTTTGAAAAATGACCGTTATGACGTCATAAGTGAACGACCCCTTAAAAAGAAGTGAAATTGCTATTTCGTTTATAACGAATGATTAAAGATGATTTTTTCATAATATGAATAGTTTCATGTAGATTTACTTTAATGCCATAATCATGGACTTAATAATTTTAAATTAAAAATAACAAAATTAAAGAAAAGATAGCACAATTCTTCAATCTGCTACGAATTTAATACACGCATGATGTATACATAAATCAATTGTAAATATGGATGTGCAACATTGAAGAATGATCGACAAAAGCTTTATAAATATTTAGATGAAAAAAAAGAGAGAAAAAAATTATTTTTTTTTCAATCAATTGAATTTTCTTCTTTTCGGATATAATCATGTACATAACGTCGATAAAGTAACTGATCTATTTTACATGTATGAAACAATAAATATTTAATACTAAAGTGCCAAGATTTTGTAAAAACAACAAAAAAAAACATGTAGTACATAAAACCTTTTCTAGATTAATAAACTATTTACTGTAAGTAACTGAATACAAAAAAATAAAATCATTTGCTTTTCAATTACGTAAAGGACGAATTAAACACAAAAGGCTTCATTTATGAACAATCTTACCAACAATTTGTCTAGGGGCCATTCACTTATTACGTAACGCTTTTAGGGGGAGGGGGGGGGGGTCTAAGATTTTGTTACGGTTCAAACAAGGAAATTTTTTTTTTCGTACAAATTTTGTTACGAGGGGGGGGGGGGGGTCTAAGAAGTCATTTTTTTGCGTTACGTAATAAGTGAACAGCCCCCTAGCGGATATGTGAAGTAAGAACTCATAGAAAAATAATTTATAGCATTTTTAACAGGAAGCAGTCAAACGTGGTTTCATTGAAACTTATGGACGACAGGGGTGTGTTGCATAGGATGTATATTGTTGCGCAACTGTTGAGCAGAATTCTGCAGAATTATTCTGATAAATTCTGCAGAATAATTCTGATGACAACATAATAATTCTGATGAATGTTGCGTGACATGGATGTAACAAAACCAGAATAATTCTGTAGAACTTATTTTTATTCTGCAGAATTATTCTGTCTACCTATACAGCAGATTCGACAACAGTAGCATTTTCAAAGTTTGATGATAAAGTAAAGAAAAATATTAATTGTTAAAAAAAGGCAAGAATTCAATTTAAATCGTTATTTTTTCTTTTATTTCAGTCAAATGAAATGTTATTTAATTTTATTTTACAAATTTACTTAGTCTGAGGTAAAGTAATTTAATTAAAGTGATGAATTGAATATCCATTTATTTCTTAACGCCTAATCTATTAAATACGCTTGAAGGCTTAGCAGTGCTATTGCCATTCTTATTGCCAAGCTTTAAATTCTTAAAATTTGCTTTTAAATCTAGTCTTGATTTTGCTGATTTTGGTGATTGATCTGCTCGCATTTTACTATTCTTGACTGGTGAGATTTTAGGTTTCATATTGACTGTTTGTCTAACTGAATGTAAATGCTGTCGTGGATCTATAGTTCGATTGAATTTTATCTCACCGAGTCTGTTTTTAATTCCGTCTGTTCTTAAACCTTTAATGCGATTTAATTTCTTTGCATTAAATACAATTTGTCTCCTCGGTTCAATTTCAAGGACTTCTACTTCTGGTGAAAACTTTACTTGCTTGTAGTCATCAGAGTCCATTTTCTCTTCAGAATCCTCAGATTCATCGGTATCCATGTGTCGTGGTGCTGGCTTGTTCAATATGATTTTTGTACTTACTCTGTGCTTTACAACGCCTTTTGGTGACTAATAAGAAATGATATTAGCTTAGTTAAATTAATTATTGATTTTCAGATTAATCACATACCTGCTTCGTTGGAGAGTTCTTTAAAATGCCAGAAAATGCAACAGACTTCTCGTTCACTGACTTTCTAATCTCGTCATATCCGCCTAATCTATTAAATATTGATGATGATACTTTGCTAACTCTTACAATGCTGTCACTGGATGTACTATCTGCCATTTCAATATCATGTGAATTTGATGATGGTCTTAGACGATCGAATACCGACTTTTTATGTTCAACCTTGTCCATTTGCACTTTAAATTAACAATATAAGCTTAAAAAATATCAAATAAAGTTATTTTTATATCTTACTAGCTGAATGTTTGGCCAAGATTTCGCGACTCTTCTTTGTGAAACCTTTTGGAAGTGACACTTTGTATTTTCCTTCATGTTCAGGCAAGACTCTTCTTGGTGCTACAGCGATTGATGCTAAAATTACATTAAATTAGTTTTATGACATTTAAACCATTTGTTTAACATACTAATAGTCGATGAGGATACTGGAGAAGCTGGACGTACTTTGACAATAGTTTTGTGTGGTTCCGGTTGTGATGCAAGAATTCTATCGCGAAGAGACTGATCATTTACTGACTTTGCATGTCTCAATATGCTTATAATATCACCCATTGGTTTAATTCCCATCTATAAAAGAGATATATTTACACAGCTGTGAATAGATTGTAGATGTATTAAGTATAATTTGTGGCATTACCTCTTTTAGATTATCTGTATTTAATTCACTCAACATGTCCAATTGAATTCGATTTTCCATAAATATATGCGCATAAGTCGCATTTGTAGGACTTGGAATTCCAGCATTAGTAAAGAACTTGACCCAAACAGCTAAAAAATTGCAAAATGGATTTATATTAGTCTATTATTAATGCTATTTATAGATTTTTTAAGAAAATTTTTTATGCTCTTTAAGAAAAATCTCCCAAAAATCAATTTTTACTCACATCCACCACTAGAACTCATCTTTCACTTGATATTTATTACTTAATTAAGCTGTATAATAATAATTAAACTGGCACAGATTCGAAAAAACGCTACTTTATCGTATAATTAATTAAAAATTCAATTCCAAGCAAAACATTTCAGAAAGTCTTCCCCTGAAAGTTTTTAAAATATGACGCACAGAAATTTGAATTTCAAAAACCCGTTAACAGAAATATCTGAATTAAACCATTTTCCTTGTAAATTTGTTATCTGTTATCAATAAACCATGAAGTTCTTAGTAATAAAATAAAACCAAGTCGGAGAAGAAATATTAAGGAAATGACGTCTATAACACCAAGTCACATGTGTTCTCTGAAAATGTAAAGATCACGATTTGTCCATGAAAAGCAGAAGATTCGCTTAAAAAATCGTGTAATTAACACCTCAAATAATAATCTAACAATGATTTAAGATAAAAATATAAAAAAATTTAATTTATTCATCACAACAATAAGCTTGTTTCTTTGTATCAAATAAAAATTCCATTAAGTTATAGTAATTGAACCTTTTCTCCGGCAAATATTTAAGACGATTTCGCCACTTTTAACGCTCTTGAACAACTTAATGGCATCTTGATGTGTCAAATCATGACAAACATGCCCATTGACAGCTAAAACTTCATCACCTGCTTTCAAAAGTCCACTTTCTATAGCTTGTCCTTTAACCATAATGCTTTTAATAAAAATTCCTAGTGCACCACGTGGACTATCAGCACCTCCCACGATGGTGAAACCGAGAGCTTTCTTGCCAGGCCCTTTCTCAAATATCACTGTGTGGAATGTACAGTGCGGACTTGTCTTTGCTTTACGAGGTAATGTACAAAAATTTGTGCATGGAATTTTCTTCACATTCGGTGTTGAATGTTTGTCGTTTCCATTATCATCAATTTTTTCTTTGGATTGTGCTGTTTTCAGCTTTAATTTATCATCATCACACATGTTGAGAGCATTTGAAGCATCAAATGAATCTTCTTCTTGATTAATCACAAGCGTTGTGCCTTTTGATCTTCTCGGATGACTAAGTGTATTGAATTTTGTATTGTTATCATTTCTTTCCAGCCTGCATAAAATGAAACAATGATTTGATAAAAAAACTGCATTTTCTGAATCATAAAATAAAATACTTACAAAGCAACAATTTCTGAAACTGAATTACGCTTCGTGGACGAGTCATTTGCTGCATCATTAAGGCCTGAATCTATTGAACGATTTTTCTTCTGTCTTTTCTCAATGACTGGTGTCGATGTTAAGGACAAATCAGTACAACTAGCTATATGATGATTATGTTTATTGAATGACGATGAGCAGATCTTTGGTTCATTTTTCTCCTCAGCTGTGTTCTCATGATCGTACTTTATTTCGATTCTGTTTACAAAAATAAGAGAAAAATGTTTAAAAGAATCACAAAAATGTCGCTTTTAAGAGCCTCTATAGGCACGATAAAGGCATGAATCAGACGAGAGAAACAAAAATAAAAAACTGAAACATTTCATCCAGTCAGTTATAAAGTTTATGTAAATACTGAAGGGTTGTTTGTTTGTGTTGTAAGTGATGTCAGGATATAATTATGTGGGTAGGGGGTTGTGTTTAGGGATAGAATTAATTTTTCGACATGTGCGATGTTAATTCCTTTGTAAAACGCATATGTCGTTTATTTCAAGCATTGCAAATGATTAAACCCGATCGGAACAGTTCAAATGCTCTTCACAAGTTAAACCAAATCTTGTTTCGAATTCTGAAGTTTAAAGACTTGATCTTCAAGCCTTTTAAGTTTCAATCATTAAGTCATCATGAAGACATAATTTAAAACTGTACTGATCGGGCTATGCTACCTTACCTTTGAACATATTTTCTCTCCGGAGGCAGTTTAATTGATTGATCTTGATCAACCTTTTTATTTGGTTCAGAATTCTCATCAGTCATCGATGACGCACCCGATTCATTTATTAAAATTCCGGAATCACCATCTTCGGTTTCAACTTTCTTCGAATCAAATTCCTTAACTTGTGTCAACGTTCCATAACTCAAACTTCGTCGACTGTTGAAAAATTTCCTAGAAATCGATTCGGTCGTTATATCACTAGATGATTCAGCGACTGATGACTTTAAATTTGAATTTGAGTAAAGTTTTGAAAATAGTTTTTGTGTTTTATCGGACATAGTCCGAAATTTGCTGCTTAAGCCTTTTCGCTTGTGCTTTTGATTTAAATAAATTTCACCTTTCTCATTGATTTTGGTTTCATCATCATTTTGACGATGATCTTCATCGGTACTTGATTGAGCATTATTCATATCCATTGAAAGAAAATCATCAACAGATTTAAAGTTTTTAAGACTTTGTATATCAAATTGTTGTTCACTTATTATCGGCTTATAACACGAAAGTCTTGTGTGAATTAATGGATTTCTTTTCTCTCGATAAGGTACACTATAAGCACCGCAATATGTCCGACTCAATTCACTTTTATTATTATGACATGCGTCTTCATCTAAAATCGACGAAATGCTCTTGTGATGACTTAAATTATCATCATTATCGCCACAATTCTTATTACTTATATTATGATTATTTCTCCATACTTCCTTATCGAAATCAAGAACGTTGGCTAGTTTGTGGCGATGCAATCGTCTGAGTGTTGTGAAATATGTGGGCGTACTTGTCGAGATTGTTTTTATACTACTTATCGATTGATTAGATGGCGATGATGATCGTATGAGATTTTTATTTTTTAACAGTACTGGTGAATCGTCACATTGACCTATTCTTGACCTATCAATTACACGTCCTTCTTGTATGCTGTAACAATTTTCTGTAGATTTTGCAAACTTCTTCGACCACGTCAGAGTTCGAAATGATGAAAAATCTGTCAAAATGTGCACATTAGTTTCACCATTTTAATAATACACCAAAAAAAAAAATAAGTATTCTCAGTTAGATGAACGTCCGCACATGTTCAATCACAAACAAATACTGAATCATCGTCATGATCATTAATTCAAAACGAAAATTCTGAATCTCATCAGTATTTGTTCGGCAAAGCATATGTATACATGTATACAATGTTACGTTCGTATAAATACCGCATCCCATATGATTTTAATTGTTTATTCAAATAGCTTTGACTTTCAAACATTCAATCCATACACACACCCGTCAAAAAAAAAAAAAGATATAATAATATGGATATATTGTGGAGAAGTAAACAAGATTGTGACACACATACAAAAAAAAAAGGGAAAAGCATGCATCAATAATGAAGTTTAAAAACATTTTAATCATGACATTAATCCATTCATAATTCCCTCTATCCACATAATATGATTTGAAAGGGAAAAAGGAAAGAAAAATGATCCCAACATTCCATTTAAAATTCTTATCATGTTCACCCACACATTTGTATACAATTTCTTTCTAATTTCATGGAAATAGTGTCTTTCCAATAATTTGTCTTACAATGTACACATGCATTGAATTTCAAATGAACGACTTTTTATTGTTAGGAAAGTATAGACATTTCTTGGAGCATATATGCATAGCTAATAGGTGCACAATATCGAGTTTTTTATTGACTGGAATTTTTTTTTCTTTGTAGAATTGAGTTGTAATATTCCCGAACGGCACAAGTCGGTGAATTAATCAGAAATCCGGCACCAAGTTGGTGTGACTGGCATGGTGCTGCATTTAAATCGAAGCTAGCACCATGCTAGAGTCATACCGGCTGGGCACCGGATTTCTATTCGATTAACCGACTTGTGCCATTCGGGATTTTTAATACTTTTAGGGTCGTTGGCCCGATCGGCACACATTGAAATTCATTGAAATGTTTGCCACTCGACAGCCGGGTTGATAGTTTAATTAGAATTGGCAATAGCAACCACTTGGCATACAGTTGAAAGTTGCTGCCGCTTGGGCCTAATTATAATCTCAACCCGGCTGTCAAACATTTCAATGTGTGCCGATCGAGTAGCTTATTACGAGTTGATCTTAACTTTTCAGTAAGAAAATTGCTTGATTAGTCAATGACAAGCAAATGACAATTTTGTGGACCTCCAAAATCTTAAGATTTTATAGCTTAAAAGACTATGAAACTTTATTAAGGTATATTAGCTTGATTGAAGTACTTGATAGATATTTTATTGAACTATCTTATTACAAACTTGACAACGTCACCCACATGCATAAGCTACCAAGTAAAATTTATTGAATACTGACAGTAATAAAATGCGTTTAAATCACCCACATGCATAATGCTCAATAACTCGTTTTTTTTCTCTCTTAAAGTCTATGATTGATGAATGTAAGATATAGAATATAAAGACATCATTAGTTGTCTAAATTTGAAGTACATATTGTCAAGGTTAATAGTTAATGATTGCATCGATTTTCATGCATACTTTTAAAGAAACGATTTTAATTGCATTGTACTGTTAAGGGTCCTCATATGTGACCTTATTCTTACAATACAACATATGATGCTCCATTAAAAGTACATTTACTAGTAATAATAATAGTAATAAATATAACTGATGACTAAACATCAAAGTAAAGTGGATGGGTCGAGGAATTCAAGTATTCATTTTAAAATTGAACAGAACTACGCAATTGAAATTTTTATTGCACTATAACGGACAACGTAAGTAGTCAATAAATTACTGTTTGTTATGGCCTAGCATGCAAAAATAAAATAAACTGTATTGGAAAAATTCTCAACAAGGAATTCTAAGCTACATAAGGATTTTCATATGTCAGCTAGTAGAAATTAATTAGAGGCGATTCCATAACTTTTTTTTTCAGAGTTCTGCTGTGTTAAGTACCATAAGAATGAATGATTGTTATTTTAAATTGCGATGAACGCATTCTTTTATTAAATTACATGTAATCTTGTAAGCGAATCGACACAGATTCCACGACTTATAGAACTTTTTTTCTTCATCTCACTAGATTAATAAAGTATTTCTCCTTTGCTTTCATTTTTTTATGTCTACTTCTTCTTCTTCTGTTTGTCATTGAGAGAGAAATAACAAATGGTCTCAATGACATGGGATATCTTGATGTTTTTATCTGACGATTTTAAATCCTTAAACTAGGGTGACCATCTGCGTAGTTTTACAACGGACAGTCCTGTATTTCAAAACCCTGTCCTGTATAAATTTTTAAATTTTGTTCCTGGTCCTGTATTTTTTTCATGAACATTTCCGTTAATTTTCGAATTTTACTCTAGGTCCTGTTTTTTTCGAAAAAATTTACCAAATGTCCTGTATTTTCATGAAAACTAGATGGTAACCCTACCTTAAACTGAATTTCATTTTCTAAAATCAGGCAGACATGTCACTTTACATGTATCAAATTATTTTGGAATTTTTAAAATCATTCAAATTTCAGATAAACATCAAAATATTAAAATTAGAAAATAGGAATGAAGACAAACAGACACGATCATTTTCATCACACATCACATTAATAATTCAAACATCCATCCACGAATTCTTACCTTTTCTCGATTTTCTCGATGATTGATTCGTTTCGTAATTGATATCTTGCTTTTGCTCAATCAAATTTATACTACGATTGCTAATCGACAATGTATCTTCAGCCTTTAATGGTGAAAGACCGATCAACTCTGCCGGCTCTTCTGAAGACTTTTGTAACCAACGCATTTTGGACTTTGATGAAGAACTGTGTGAAAAATAGAAAATTATTAAATTATTTATTGGAGGTTAAATATGTTTCGTGGCAATCAATATGCTAAGCTATTGAATTTCAGATGCAGAATTGTTTTGTTCTTACTTTTTTATTTAAATGACTTACTTTTCTTGTAACATTTTAAAAATCTTGTCTAATTACAAACATATCATGGATATTAACTCTGTCTTCTAAGTCTTCATTCAGATGCTTTTAAAATATATCAATGTTAAACCTTGTTGAGTCAACTTTCTGTGAATTTAATTAAAAATCCATCAAAATAACAATAAACATGCCTCGGTTTTAGGTACACGACAATTTTAAGAATCAAACATTTTAACCCGCGTCGTGCGTGATCAAAGCATAAATCATAGAAAAATTCATTAATCAATTAGATAATTTTCCTCATATGTAGCAACAATAAATTCATAATGTTAAGCAAGTATCCGAGCAATGACACACATGTGACTATAAATAATCGGCTTTTATCTGCTTAATAAAATTATATAATTCTAACAATGTTATCTAATGACGTCTTAATTAATAATACAGTAATTCGATTATTATGACTTTATGACTTTCCGTTAAATTATTAGCAATTCCAGTAGCTAACACACAATATCCGTAGAATGTTACGATAAACATTTGAGACAAAAAAAAGAAAGAAATAAGAAAAGAAAACAAAACAAAAGAGATGCTTAATATGATCCACCTGTTACTTTATTCTATCCACTGCTATCCATAAAGAAACGATTTAAGAAATGTTTAAATGTAGATGTGGAAGAACGATAATAAATAAGGTACTTAATCATAATTGCATCATCATCATCAACAATCATCGTTTGTTGTTTTACTATTCGAATGCATTAAATAAGAAGAAGGAGGACTTAAGTAGATGAAAAAAAAACCAGAATTAATCTTCATCTAAAATGAAAATTCATTAAAAACTTCTCGTCTAGTTCTCGCTTAAGCGATTAAGTAAGTTGAAACTTATCCATCATCATAATTGTGATTATTATTGAGTAACATTACATTTCATTAAACGAATTTCCTTTTGTGGTCAAGTGTGATTATGAAGTAGCAAATATAGTTTAAACTTGATTTAAGTATCGTCCATATATGTATGCTTTATGTTACAAAACATATCTTTTATGCTCTCAGCATGAAGGAGACTCTTTTTATTTTGATTACTTGATTGACATTGTTAACGGTATGCAATTAAAATAAAATGTTCAAGATCGACGCATTTAATTTTGTAAACAAATCTTTTTCTCTTTAAATGGATAGCTGAGTATTCCGGAGAATACAACATAATGGTTATACATAATGGTTTATAACGGGTTCCATCGACTTTTTGTGTTTTATAAAATAAAATATTAGTTTTAAGCAATTTAGGAAATTATAAGAAAAAGTATTGGTAACAGGTTTGCTTTATAACTGTTGGAAAATTCTGAATAAATGACTGATTCAGATTTATTGGGTTCAACATTTGAAGAGAGGATTTAAATTTCTTTGTTATGAATCATTTGGATACTAATAATAAGTTCCGTGTCAAAAATAAAATGCTTTGTCCAAACCCTGATTGCGTTTCCTGTTACAGCACTCACTCTCGTCACTAAGATCTAAATATACCTTAAATGTTCATTTCATAGTAGTTCTCGGTATTTCCTCTCAAAGTTCTTCGAAACAATCAATAAGCAAATTAAATCATGATGCATATGATCTCATAATTGATATATCTAGATGACAAACATTGTGCAATGACTATAAAGCGAAAGTATGCACAAATGACCTTCAGAAGAACGTAAAACTAATGAATCAAGTTTACACATTAAAATGTGTCATAAACGATTTCATTTAAAGTTTTAACTTCCACATAAAATTTTAATGACTTAGAGAAATTATTATCAATTAAGCTATTACAACTGTTTTCACATCATCTTCACATGCAAATCTAAGTAATACTTACGTACATAGCAAAGGTAAATTATAGTGAAAGTGATCGACATGCTGTAACTAACGTATCCAGTAACATAATTAGATTTGTTTATAATCTATTTTCTTCATTATGGATGCATTAGATTGTTTAATGAAAGCGAAAACTTTTCGAGCTTCAATCGACCGCAAGATCGATGGCGTTTGTTTGAATAAAATTTGCATAACTTACAATTGATGAGTTCCATTAAATCGCCTATTCTCCATTATTTCGAATCAAAACAATCACCAGAAGTGCACACAATTCAATTCTCATCTCCAATAATAAAGAAAGATGATGATGTTAAGCGGAACTAAAGCGTTAATAGAGTAATTAACCATTAGTAGCAATTTTTATTGTGGAAATTTCTTTCATACCACGAGTAATGTTTAATGAAGACGTTATTACCGACAGCTTCATGTCTTTCCGAAAAAAAAACTAATTCAAATAATTTAAAAAAAAAAAAATTGGATCCGCAAATAAACTTTTACAACTGTTTTAAGCATGTAAACTCATTCACTTCACAGTCGTTTGTCTTTCTCTAATAGCCATTTCAAATGTCATTTACTTGCGTATGTACATCATTACAAGACTGTGAAGTGAACAAAAAATGGTGCGTAAAATATGGTTGATTACGAATATTAAATAACTCTTTTTTTTTCACTTTCATTTCAATTGTTCTGTGTGCTTTGAATATTGAAGAAACAGTGCTGTTTGTAGCTTGTGGAGAAGAAAATACATTTTTCTCAAATTGTGCAACATTACAAGAAAGAAAGAAAAAGTTTGTTTGGCCATTGCATTTCATCATTGCTTGACTTTGTGGAATAGTCATGAATATTTCAGCATGAAGCACATCAGATAAGAAAAAAGATGATCAAATGAAGAGAAAATGAAGCGACGAACCTAAAAATTTGTCAATTATTAATCTTGAAAAATTGATAATTTGCTTTCATTTTTGGCATAAAAGGAAGGAAAACATTGAATATCGAAAACTTAACATCTCTTTTGAATCAAAAGTTTTGATTATCAATTTTATTGTCAAATTACTTAATTATGAATGATTTTTGATTTGGAACTAATTGACATTTGCAATTTTGTGAAATCAAAAAGTTATAGAAGTCTAAAGTTTGTTATTAATTGTGTATTGAAAGTTTGTTGATTCTGATTTCGATAGATCGAGAGCTCGAAGTCAACTCGAGATTTTCATCGATTTTGTATGGCGGACTCTATACAAAATTTCATCGACTTTGAGCTCTGGTTAAATCTATAAGTAATTGTATAAACAACTGCATTATTGAATCAAAACCTTTAAAAAGTAACTTGATCTATCTCTTGAGTTTCATCAAAAGAATGTTAACAACTATTCATTAAATTCCTTAGTACCGAACTCGACCAACCATAACAAAACAGACAGCGAAATCGTCTGCAGTGAATTCCTCGATAAATTCTTGGTCAAGTTCAATTTCATTACTAATTAATATTGTATTAATTCATATCGATAACCTCAAGCTTTTATTACAATACACAATATAAAGAGGCTCAAAAAAGCATTAAGAGAATCAGCCTTATTGATGCATAAAATTTATGAAGGTCTCACGAATTTAATTAGCGAATTTTTTTGTTCGTCTATTGATTCCAATAATCTTAATTAATATTACTATTCTGATTCCAAACGTCTTAAAATTTTTCGCATTGCCAATTCACAACAGGAATTAAGACATTTTTGTTAATCACATTATCAATGGTCATTTTAAAGCATCAAATGGCTCACTTTTTGTCACTTGATTTTTTTGTGCTTAATCTAATTAATCTAACCTTTCAATGCCTTCTTTTTTTCGACATACAGTAATTATAGCATGCAATAATTAATTTATGATGTGAGAAGTACATACTTTAGTGTTTTTTTGCTCGCTTGATTAACATTGACATAACAAATAAATTTACAGCCACAAAAAAAAATTAATAATGTAGTTTGAAGAATTTCATTGTATATGGCATAATGTCGAGTTCATTGTGTACCGCATCCGAAAAATAATTTTCATATGATTACAATAATGCCTCTCGTTTGTGAATTGACTGTAATAAATTAAATTACAATCAAGAGGAAAAAAAATCGTGCTCACATGAATTGAGGGAAAAAAAAGTGTTCCAAATTTGGTGGATGTTCAGGAAATAACGATCATCACATATGTTAATATTTACTTTCTGTTTGCACACATTTCAATTAACAACTTGAAATATTTTTGGTTATGAAAAAGCTACAATGAAGGTGTATAAAATGAGATTAAGCGATGTATCTGCGTGAATTTAGATGTTTTGAAAGAATATGTGCCATAAATTTATTTGCTTATTTAGCACACCCGAGTGGCACATGCTGATTAATTCTCAATCAAAATAAATGTGGAGTAAGTCATTTGAATTATATTTGCAGCAATTTAAAGTATGGAACTGTGTGTAAATGCTGTCCAGAGGCGTATTTAAGAGAATTTCAAGGTTAAACCTATTTGATGGGAAGTTTCTGAACTTTGCTAAGGTTTTTTGAGAATAAAGGCAACATCTGAATTTTATAATCAATCCAAATAATTCGATAAGATTGCTGATTCAGTTCATGATCTAAGTTGATTAAAAGCCTTTAATTATCGATTATTTTAATTCCCAACCCAACTCTTTAGTATTAAACATCACTTTTAAACAACCTCTGATTTGTGAAACCTCCGAAACCTCCAATAAACTTCTTAAAACGGTTGACTAATGACATTTTTACCATAATAATTATGACATGATGCAACAAAACTTAATGTAATGCTTTCTAGCCTCACTAGGCAAGATTAATGAAATTAAATATTTTTCTCATCCACGTACGAATATTTGCAATAATATTAATAATCTTTGCATCAATGAATAATCAACATTTAATTCAAGTTCAAATCTGAATTGGATGTGAATAAAGTTTGATGAATAGAATTAGCGAAAGAAATTGTATTCATTAAAATATATGAAATTTTAAATTTGTTTTGACAATAATCAAAAAGGTTTTCTTTTTTTTCACCTTAATATTAATATATTATAATATTAATATTAATATTGGATTTAACCTTGCCATTCTTAACATAGTCAGAAAACTAGTAAAGTAATATAATTTATTTACTTTTCAGTACTGGAGCTTTTGCTATTAAACAGCAAAAAAAGTAAATTTAAAATTCTTCCCGCTTTTTTGCATTTAGGTTTTGAAGTAACGTCAAAAAAATATTTAAATCACGTAATGCAAATTTATGAATATTTTTGAAATTTAACGGTTTGAAACCATAGTTACCGTTATTTGTTTATTCCTCAAAATTTTCACAATATTACATTTGTTCTAAATTAATTGAAAGCTTAAAAAACATGTCATTAACTCCAAATCCTAAAGACGAGAACGTCTCAGAAGTTGATCAGAAAAATGTCGGAGTGATATCAATGCATGAATTTCTGCATTTCCTTAAGTTAAGTGTAAACGTGCACGAGACACTCGACAAGCCATCAAAAAATGCAAACTTTAATTTTGAGAACCTTTCGAAAAATGATTTAGTCAACAATCTGATGCGGAAGTATAAAAGCATAGCTGATTCATCCTTCTGTAGCAATACAAAAATTGTTGAAGGTAGCAAAGAGGATTTGATAATAAAAAGGAAGAGATCAGCAAAGGGAGGCAAAAATGTATCCCTTAAGTCTAAAGTTGGTGAAAGCTGTGATAATCTATTCCCGAATCTTAATCCAAATTTAACAGAGAAATTAGATGAAGTGTTGGGACAAGGCATTTTAGATTCATTACTTCCATTCATCTCACAGCAACAGCAACCAGTTTTACAGAACAAAAGTCATGTCATCACTCCGTCATCACAACTGGCTATCCAGCAAACTCAAAATACCCAACAGAATCCAAGCACAAGTGGTGTAAGTTTAGGAAAAATTAAGCAAATTCCACCAAATCAAAAATCAATGAGCAGCAGTAGTGGCGAAAAGAAATCCAATTCTATAGAGCATAATGGAAGCATAATATTCAGTCAAAAGAGTTTAAGGAAGAAATCACCGCTGGTTATAGATCAAACAACAAAATCACTGAGTGAACCAGAATTGACGATTCACGTGTGCGATGAAGTGAAGGGAGTCTCGCGTGACTTTACATGCCCTCAAAAGCTATTGATATCGAAAATGGGATATTTTGCAGATATTACAAGCGGCCAACGACTCGAGGACATGGATATATCCGTACATTGTGATTTAGATATTTTTGATTGGCTCATAAAATGGGTTAAAAAGGAAACGTTGGCATCACAAGATAATTGGCCAAAATTAAATGCTTCCAATGTGATTCCTATTCTAGTATCAGCTAGCTTCCTTCAAATGGAACCATTACTACTTGACTGCCTTTCCTATTGTCATGCACACTTATCGGATGTCGTTAAAATATCACCAAATTTGGGTTGCTTAAATGACAACATTATATCACGTCTTGCTGCCATGTTCACAAACTTAGAGCTTGAAATGGTTAAGGACAAAAAGGATCGCATTCAGCCACGCTTATTTTGCAAATTAATACAAAGTTTATGTGAAGTAGAGGCACAATCGCTTCGTGGACATTATGCAAGTTTAGCAGGTCTATTTCGATGCATTAAATGTGGAAAGTATGTGACACAAACGGTCTCAACTTATGTCCATTGCGTCTCTAGTAACATGAAATTAAATCGATGGGGACAAATAATAAGCTCACATGTTCGTGACACGAATTGGAGTCTCTCAAATTATGTCTCAAACTTGTACAAGGAACTGAGAAGTTGGCGAAAAACTTATTGGAGATTATGGGCAACATGTCACTTCCTATATTGTTCCATTTGTGAGACTCACTTTCCAGCGTCTCAACTTCAGTGGTGCATGTATCATCCTGAACCACCTCAATTCTTAACTTCCGGAAATCCAAATGAAACTGGGAAGATTGGTAGATATCCATGCTGTGGATTACAACTTGCTTATAGATTTGAAAGTGTTACATCTCCATTCAATGGATGTCAATATCGAGAACATTGTGTTGTTGCTGAAAATGACAGGTAATATCCTGAGATTTATTTATAAATTCTTCATTCATTCTTATGATTTTAGGGATCGTGCAATATTGAATCTCGTGAATCAAGTGTCTGAGAATAATTTGTCAATGTTTGAGTCACCGCCAACATCGCGCACATCATCAGCAAGCAATTCAAATGAACCTTGGTGGAACGGAATGTCGATATTAAATAACAGAGTTCGTCAGGGAATTTTGCCATCATTGCATATCGAAGGAGGTACTATATGCTTACTGTTCTTAATATTATTGCTACAAATAATAATTTTTTGTCCTAGACATACGCTTTAATAACCGTAAATTTAGAGTCCAGCAACCAATTCAGCCAGATTCATCAAGTGAAACGGAATCAAGTGATTATGCTCTTCAGGTTCGACAAACGTCAAGCAGCACAAGTAGCAGTGATGGTGAGGAATCAGAATGTGGTGTAGCTTCTCGTACACAATATAAGTCTGGATATAAAAGACGTTTAAAAACTGGATGTAGAAGTTGGTCCGCAAATTTGTCAGCTAGAAGTAATCAAGACAACCAACGAGAATTTGAGGAAAGAGCAATGAAGCAGGTAGGCATGATATAAGTAATTATAGAATTTATAATGCTGATTATTGATTATTGCAGATAATGTCGATTGTGTCGAAAAAAACAGGCATTGGAGTAGCAGATCAGACAAAAGACTTCCAAACATATCAACAAGGTGGAATTTATATAAAATTAGAGAACGAATGGAAAGAGGCACTAAAGCGTAATGTCACTACCAAAGTAATGAAGCAGAAATAGGAACTTTTAAGGCACACTAGACTCACAAGCTAATTTGTTTTATAATAATAATAAAAAATAAATGAAATAATAAGCACTAGAGATGTGTGGATTAATTTAATCGTAAATAAACACTCTTTGAAGTCAGAGGAACAGAGTAATAGGTCATCATTTCAGTTTAATCTCATCGCTTTTTAGCGCATTTTTTACACTTGTTTCTAGAAGGTAACTTAAAAATACACTTTGTTCGGCTGTTCGGCTGCTCGGGCGAAGAAAAACTTTTTAACCAGACATCGTAGAAAGCTCGGGTTTGTTTTATTAGCTCCGTTACTACCGATTTATCAGCCATCGAATGATTTCAATTCTTCAAACAATGTATTTATGCTATAATTAATGATTTTTTATTTCATAAATAAAACCACGTGATGAGTATGTTTAAAAACTTGAATTTTTTTCTAACGCTTTAAAAATTGTTAAGGGTATGTTCAGAAATTCAAGCTTATTCTTAATCGATTCGAATTTTGATGCTTGTCAAATACTGATCGCCGCTTCAAAAATGCGTTTAAGTCCCTCGATTAATAACACGAGCACTTCTGTAATTTTTTATATTTTTGTGTGCGTCCAAATTGTCGAATCTAATAAATCAAAATGTTTGCAAATTTGCTTAGCTATAACTTTCACTAGCTCATTTAATAGTCAATATACACTTGTTGACACATCGCCTGCTGATTTTGGAAATGACAATCAATTTTTTTCATACAAACATCTGCCACAATAATTGATTACTTAGTAGCATTTCCGTGGATTTTAAATATCATGTAAATGTTAATTTAATTCAGTATTCTGGCGATGAAAGCTTGTCAAAATTTAGTAAAAGAATCAATGACGCATTTGAATTGGAAGTAACGTAAATAAATGTATTGTATTTATGTCTACGAGTATTGTTAATTTTAAAGTTGTAGAAATAAAGTGTGCTTATCCCACATTATTAAAAATAGGAATACTCGTGTATTGTTCATGTGAAATGAATTTTAAGTGAGTTGTAGTGCCATCAACTCTGAGCCCATTAGAAATGATTTCCTTAACGTGTTCTATATTTGGAGAGATTAAAGCTTTTGTTTGGCATACATTTTGGTCATTTCTGTTGCTGATGCCATAGATTTGGTTTTTGGATATTTGATGGATTTTATACGACACTTTTTGCTACAGACTGAGTCATTTGGTATGGATTAAATGAAATTTGCAGAAATCCGTTGAAAATTTTTCGATTTGATCCAAAAGCCACACAAAAAATACAGTTTAATGACCATTATTGATTTATAATCCACATCCTGATCTATAAATGCGGAAAATGTAACGTTAAATTCTATGTAACATGATATGGACAAACAAGCATGTGCGAGGCATTATGCTCTCAAAAAACATAAAAAAATATTTTATTGTGTAAACTAAAATTGAAAAATAACATTTATGGATGGGAATGAATTCAAATTATAACTTCTCATAATATCCAAAATGATTGATTCTTATGGAAATTGAATAATAATTTATATTTATGTATGAGATTATAAAAAGAGCATGGATCATCCCTAATTTTTTTAATATTTCAATTTTTCTTTCTTTCTCATGCCTCATTGGATATTTATGTCAGAAATACCTGCATCCATGGATTACACAATATTTCATGTTGTATTTTTGACAATTCACACTTCACAGCAGGTAGGCATACAGATATAAATTGTATCGAGTCATTACACGAAAGGGATCATCATCATTGCATTGATTGAGACGGACACAAAGAAGCACAGAGAGGAGAAGAAAACGAAAATTATTACATTATGCGAGATATGTGATTTACTTCTTTATGTCCATGATGATTGTGTATTATATTGATTTTTTTTGTATTATATTTTTGGGATTTGCGATTCTTGAATTGATTGATCAAGGTTGGAATGAAAATAATTAAAATTTTTCATGGTTAAAAGAGCTTGCTGAGCGGATCATGCTGTGAATTTTGTTTGAAGATGAGACTAATATCTGGAAAAGTGTTGCTTTCTTTAGTCAGGAACTTACAATTTATTGATTGGATTAATATGAAATAAGATTCCTCAATTCACAAAGATCGAGAGATCGAGTTTAAGCGACGTTAAAAATGAAGGGAAGGATCCATTAAGCACCTTATTAAGATTGAATCTTCGTCTATGTTGAATGACAAAATTGATCATTTCAATTCTTTCAATAATTGTTTTAACTTGGAGATTTCAAAAATTAACCAAAAATTTCACAATTAATTTCCTGATTTGATCTTTTTATTAATTGACTTCTGAGAAGTCATTTTCCTTAATAATCCACAATTCATGAATCAAACGCATGAACTCACCATGAAAATATTCTCAATATTTATTTTCACAATTTTATGTAAATTTTTTTTAAAAATCTTTTTTTTCCTTTTTTTTGCCAAGTAAAGCTTTCTAATTTGTCACTTCACCTCAATAAACTCTTTATTTTTCAGTCCATTCAATAATCATCGTGTGACAAAACAATTCACTGATTATTTATTAACAATTTGCATCTTTAGCAAATTGATTTAATTTTTTTTGTTGTATTGCAAACATTTATTACCCATGAAAGTGTTGGATGTTATATTCAAGTCCACCTCTACACGACTTAACGATTAAATTAAGACTGAGTAGCACCACTGAAGACCAAAAGAAACAAAAAGGTTTTATAAAAACAAACGTGAGAGAGCCGGTTTCTTCTCTTTAAGTTGCTCAGAGCGAATTATTCTCATTCGTTCAACTTTACTTTATTTTTTTCTTTTCTTTTATTGATATTTCCACGCTGCTGTGGAAGTAAATTTTAAAAAAATATTTATTGCATGATTAGATGTATCTTAAATTACTCTATTCACCTCAATTTAATTGTGTAATAGCATGAAATTATATGTAAAGTAAAAGAAGATATTCTTAATACATCATGTCACATTCAGTCACACGGTAGCTCGTAATTTTACACATGGTAGCATTTTCAGCCTATATTTATCGATCAAAAGAACAGAAGCTAGAATGAAATTGTAGTTTTTTTATTTCGGTCTTTTTACCGCTACCGTCTGTGGCTGATTGTTCATCTTTAAAGTCAATTAAATTGGAATTATAAAGTAATTTGTTTCTACTAAACATAATAAAATTGATAATAAGAGTTGTGGTGTCGAGTTTGCTAAATTATCTACATCTTAATAAACATTTTGTCTTGAGTGAAATTGTAGTTTTCCGTCCTCAGAAAGTTAATTGGATTTGTGACTATTTAATTTTGAATTTGATGTGACTTTTTGGTTCCGAAAGTTTTGTTTTAAATTGACTAAGTAATGAGTATCTTTTTGGAACAGTAGGGGAAGTCTTAGGTTGTTGATTCACTTGATGATTTAGTCCTGGCATTGAATTTTATTTTAAAATTAAGTTTTAAGGATTGTTCTTAGTCGTTCTATGCTAAATAATGAATTGGAAAATGATTACAATAATAGGACAATCCTCTGCAATTTCAAGTAGATGATCAGCTTTCCTATGACGAACATTACTTAAGAAGGAAGAAAGAGTTTATTTGAAGGTTTCTGACAAAGATAACAACAAAAGATTGTTCAAGAAAACCTTGAAACAATCGCAAGAAAGGTTTGAAAACTCAATTTTGAACAATATAAGAATTTTGTGTATTTTTCTTTAAAAATATGCGCTTCAAAGATTAATCGCAATGATTCTCAATCTTAAGCTTTATAAACTTTCCATATAAAATGCGAATGCAATAAGGGCTCGTTCACTTATTACGTAACGCAAAAAAACGAGTTTTTAGACCCCCCCTCCCCCCCTGTAACAAAGCGTAACAAAATCTTAGACCCCCCCTCCCCCCCCCCATAACGTAACAATAATTTTTTTCATTTAAATTGTTTATCAAATGTTTATTATACTTCCTTTAAAATTTAAAATTAATATAGAAAAAATTATAAAAAAATATATTTTTTGAAAAGTTACGTAACAACATTTAGACCCCCCCCCTCCCCCTGTAACAAACCGTAACAAAATCTTAGACCCCCCCTCCCCTCCTAGTGCGTTACGTAATAAGTGAACGAACCCTATGGTGAGACGATAGTTGGTGAAATTTGATAAGAAATGAAAATTGGAACAGCCGCTGATCGTAATTGAACGATTATGAAATTGGATGATCAAGTTTTGATTGAATAAAAAATTATTAACAATTCTCGAATATTTTTTTAAGTTAATTCAATTTGCAAGTCTACAGACTCCAGTGAATTGGCACAAAGGAATTTCAATAAATGAAATAAAGAAGAAGAATGTTTGTAAGTAAAAGAAAAGAATCTCACATTGGAATTTTAAGTGGTCGCATTATAGACAGAAATGTTGAAGCCTTTTAGCAATGTTGCTTCTTATTATTTATTTACTTTTTTTGTTGTTTCCATATTTTATTCTGTTTTAAAGTAAATCATATGTAAAGACTGCTCACCTCGTGTTCGATTTCATACAATTTTTTGTTACAAACTTCCTTTTTGAAGTGCAATGCCGATAGTCGATCGCATGATGACGCAACATTACTTAATCGAATTAATTCTTTATTTTACTTTATCGAAACATATGTAATGATGATGTATTTCTATGTCATGGCAAAACTGCAAATGAATTAACTTTACTGTTTACAAGTTAAATCATGCAAACACGAATTTAACAGTTACGACTGTAAGATTGATTTTAAACATTTATTCAATAACCGATAAGCAAATAATACTTTTTGGTAGTTCATTCATAATTATTATTATTATTGTTATTGTTGTGACTGATTAACATCCATATAATTTTCTGATTCTTCGGTTGATTTGATGGCTTGTTTGAAAGACATTTAATGTACAAATAACAACAACGTTCCTTAATGCTAAAAGGGTGTTTGAAGTTTATTTATTTTTATTTCTATAAAGGTCAACATCATAAAATGTTTAATCATGCAAATTAATGTTGACAGGCTCATTGGATATTCTGTTGATTTGAGAGATAAATTAATGAACATCTAAAATTTCTTTATGGGTCAAGATTATTAAAGCGTAGAAATTTCATTATGTTATCCACAACAAGTTAAGACACGAACTGTTTTACTTACCTGGTCGTACAGATCAATTGTGATCCATGGCCTCCCTTAGATGCACCTGAAGCTGGCTCTATCGCTTGCTACCGTTTGTCAATTACCAATAACAAATGCAATCAAATGCAATACTGTCTCTGTCCATGCAGCTTCTTTCTAAGAGTTCTTGGGACGTCCGCGTGATCTTTTGCACGAACTGTTTTAGCTGACAGAAACTGATTCCTACGAACCTTTTAGAAGCATTATTTGTGAATAAGCTATAATAAATCACGGTTCTCAAGATTCTTAGCGAAAATAATCAAAAAATTGTATCCGAAAGCAGCAGTTGACAGAGACGCTATTGTTTTTGGTATTGGTAATTTCCAGAGGTCGAAGCCGACATGAGTTCGCTCCGGTTCGCTAAAAAACCGATTCAAATTTGAATAGAATTTTTTCTGCTGTCACTTGTGAAGTATAACATTCTATGCAAATTTACCGGTTATAGGATCGGTTTTTTAGCGAACCGGAGCGAACTCATGTCGGCTTCGACCTCTGGTAATTTCCAAAAGGTAGTCAGTGATAGAGACAGCTTCAGACGCCATCAAAGGTAGGCCATGGGTCACAATTGATAAAAGATAAATGTTTCAGGGTAGCTATCATTACTATACGAGCAGTGCAAAGTATCACAATAATGCGAATTATATTTTGAATATTGCTATCTATTCTGAATATTGCGCCTAAAAGATATGCAATTTTTATCAAAATCCAAAGAAAACTTTACATTCTTAACTTGGAAACTTCTTTTTGCAGAAGAAGAGATTCTCTCTGTAGAGTCTTAACACAGATTAAATATACTTTAATATAATCAATCGTTGTATTCGACTCTTCTATACTTAAATATCTATTGATAAAGTGACCGTTATTTATCCACTCAATGTAGCTTCATCCCCTCGATCTTAATGCAGCTTCAGACCCCTACACTCTCAACTTCCTAATTTTTTGTTTGATGCTCCAAACATTCCTGTTTAGCAGACAGTAAAAGAATGGCACCAAAAACACATTCAGATAATAATCTACAGGTCATATGCAAAGCATTTGCAACTATTCGCCTAAGTTTGTATTTATTATCATATTGATAGTGATATTAAGATAATTTGTTTATTTTTGAAGACTTAATTAGCATAAATTAAATACATTTGATTTTTGATGGACATTCAAAAATTTTTGAAACAAATTATCTGACACTCTTGGTTGGTTTTGATGTTTGCAGCGTTGTGCAGTGGCTCTAAGATCATGACAAGATGATTAATTGCTGTGAAATGAAGTTCATCTACTAGAAATCCATCATTTTTAATTAAATGTTTGATTAAATATGTCTTTAAGAGTCAGTAATTCGACATCATGTTCCATGACTTTATAAACAGTAAACTTTGATGATGATATTTCCTCATCAACCATATAGTCATCAATAAAAACAACGCGAATTATGACCTCTAGCATTTTTGATATGCTTAAAGGTGGAGACAAAATATACACGTGACCTTTCGCACACTTTTTGTTTATGTCACATCTGTTTACTCCTTTTGCCTTCACAATTCAGGTTGTTAAATGGCTGTGATAAGAAAGAGAAGAGAAAAAATTATCATTAATGTTTATAAATAACATGCGGCTTTTTCATCGAGACTGTGCATCGATTAAATAATTTTCTCTTCTTCTCTCTTTTCTATCTCTTTAGTCGTCTCGACGATGATGATGATGTCTTTACTATTATCATCTTCAGTTTTTATTCACAAAAAATTTATTCGTCTTCGTCAGTATTTCTTTATTCATTGTTTAGATCGGTGCTGTTTGCGAATTAAAATATTTTCTCAAAAATCAGATAAGGATGACGAAAATTAATTTCGAAGTTCCTTTTCGATTAATGCTGATTCTATTTCTTGGAATTATACTCGGAATTAGTCTATCAACAATATTTTTATACTCAAAAAAGTTCTCAATAACTTTAAACAATCCGAAACCAAAATCAAATCCAGTAGATGTGAGAAATGCGAGAAGCTTCACACTTAATCAATACAATAGATCTTTAGCTGATGAGTTAACCAGAGATGTCCGAGTTTTATGCTGGGTATTGACAATGCCTGAAAATCACAAGAAAAAAGCTATACACGTGAAAAATACATGGGGCAAGAGGTGTAATAAATTGCTATTTATGAGCACGACTGCTGATTCAGAGTTGAACACCATTAGTTTACCAGTGGTAGAGACAAGGACTAGTCTTTGGGACAAAACGCGTTTCGCACTTCAATATATTTATAATTATCACTTTGATGAAGCCGATTGGTTTTTAAAAGCTGATGATGATTCGTAAGTAGACACGCTTGTTATTTAAGTGCTATATAAAAATTTGGTATTAATTCATCTTCCTAGTTATTATATCATGGAGAACGTTCGGTACATGCTGTCGCAATATCATTCAAAAACATCATTATATTTTGGTCACAGATATGCATCGAAATTTGTTGATTCTGGTTATATGGCAGGTGGCGGTTATATTCTGTCCAAAAAGGCTGTTGAGAAGTTTGTGACTAAATTAATGCATGACAAAAATAGTTGCAGAATAGAAGATGAAGGAGCTGAAGATCTCGAGCTTGGAAAGTGTTTTGAGAATCAAACACTGTTTATTGACGATCGAGACATGCTCAATCAGAAAAGATTCTTTCCTGTTGGAGTCATGGAGCATTTTAATCCGAAAACAGAGAATAACACATTTTGGTACGACCGCATGATGTACTATAATTCGAAATTTGGAGGACTTGATTGCTGCTCAGATTTAATCGTTAATCTTCATTACATTAATCCCAAGCAGATGTATATGTATGATTATCTAATCTATAATGTTCATCCGTTTGGTCTTGAAAAAAATTCAACAGAAAAGTTACCGCCAAAAATATCATTGAATGAAATAATTAAATCGTCAGATGAGCCCAGTAATGCCACCGATTATAAAAGTCATGTAACTCATCATATATTTGAAGAGGATGAGAAATTTAGATAATTGAATTTTTTGGAGACAAAAATGTAATTAGTGATAAGTGAAATTATGGAGATTATAAGACAAATAATAAGCTATTGTGGCACCGTTTAAGCGTGCCATTGTTTGTCAACGAACATTGATTAGAAATGCGAAAAAGATATTTTATTTAATGTCTGCATACTGAAGCGCATTATTGGGAAATTTCTTTGCTGTTAGAGGCCATTCATATATTGAACGTTCATCACTTAGGATGTGAAATTGTGTGACGTACTTAATTAATTCTGTGCGAATTGGGGAAGCGGTACTGAAGATTTGTTTTTTACAAGGTGTATACACTCGGGATTTTTGGGATTAATCTCAGAAAAATCCCAAAAAAACGCAACTTTTTTCTAGTGTATACGCCTTTGTTTTTTACGGATGTCATAACTGAATGCATTTGATTCTTGATTTAAAAGAAAAGCAAAAGTGGTTAGTCAAGTTTTCGAAAACACTCAGAAACGTATCCAGTTTATTATCAAGAAAAAGGAAGAGTCAATTTGTTGTTACCAAAGATCTTTTAAACTCTTTAATTCACTTCTCTTTTTTCTCTCTTATTTCTCACGTTAGTCGTCTCAATGACGATAATGCCTTTAGAATAATCATATTCAGTTTTATTCTCGAAATATTTGCATCTCACTCAGTATTCTTTAAACCATTGTTTTGGTCAGGACTGTGTGCAGACAAGAATATTTTTAATTTGTCAATTACAATCGAAAGAATGGCAAAAAATAACTTTTCACTTTCTTTCCGATTGGTGCTGATTATCTTTCTTGGAATCATTCTTGGGATAAGTTTATCATCAATTTTCATCTTTCCAAAAAAAATCTCAATTGCTTTAAACAATTTGAGACCAAAAACAAAGCATGTCAACATGAGAAATGCAAGTAGCTTCTCACTTAGGGAATACAATGAGTCAATGGCTGATGAGTTGACTAGAAAAGTAAGAGTTTTATGCTGGGTATTGACAATGCCTGAAAATCACAAGAAAAAAGCTATACACGTGAAAAATACATGGGGCAAGAGGTGTACGAAATTGCTATTTATGAGCACGACAGCCGATTCAAATTTGAACACAATTGGTTTACCAGTGCAAGAGACGAGGTCTAGTCTTTGGGACAAAACGCGTTTTGCACTTCAATATGTTTACAATTATCACTTTGATGAAGCTGATTGGTTTTTAAAAGCTGATGATGATTCGTAAGTAGACATGCAAGAGCTTATTAAGGGTTTTTGTTTTAGCTCAAGCCCTCTTTACATCTTATATGTTAGTGCTGAATAAAAATTAGATTTTAATTCATCTTCCTAGTTATTTTATCATGGAGAATGTTCGGTACATGCTGTCACAATACCATTCAAAAACATCATTATATTTTGGTCACAGATATGCATCGATACATGCTGATTCTGGTTATATGGCAGGAGGTGGGTACATTCTGTCTAAAAAAGCTCTTGAAAAATTTGTCACAAAATTAATGCATGACAAAAAAAATTGTAAAATTACAAACGAAGGAGCTGAAGATCTTGAGCTTGGAAAGTGTTTTGAGAACCAAACTCTTTTTATTGACGATCGAGACAAGCTTAAGCAAAAAAGATTCTTTCCTGCTGGAATTATGGAACATATAAATCCCAAGACTTCGAATAATGCTTATTGGTATAATCGCATGCTGTACTATGATTCAAAATATGGAGGACTTGAGTGCTGCTCAGACTTGCTTGTTAATCTTCATTACATTAATCCCAGAGAGATGTATATGTTAGAACATCTATTCTATAAAGCTCATCCGTTTGGTCTTGATAAGAATTCGACAGAAACGTTACCGCCAAAAATTTCATTGAATGAAATAATTAAATCTTCAGATGAGCCTAGTAATGCAACAGAATTTAAAAACTATAAGAGTCATCATATTATTCATCATATATTTGAAGAAGATGAGAAATTTAAATAATTGAATATGGAGGACGAAAGTGTAATTAGTGATAAAAGGTGAACGACCAATTTCTGCATTCTTTTTTGAGTCAATTGAATCATAAGAATATTTTGAAAAAAATTCCTGTTTAGGAAAAAAGCCTGTTTGCAAAAAAAAAAATGCAATAGTGGTCAGTCAACTTTACAAAAATATCCAGAGGCATATTCGGAATTTTTCAAGACATTCAAGACACTCGAGATTAATTCCGAAAAATCCCAGCAATTCTTAACTAGATATTTGAAAAATTTCAATAGATTCTGATTTTATTATGTGGCGGTTTTTACGAATCAGTGATTATTATATCCTAATTTTATGCACGCGAGCAACAATGATTCAAAAGTCAAATAATCAAAAACATAACAGTTTTGCATAGTAAATTATTTTGTATATAACAAGGCTGAGAAACTGTTTAAGAAGTGGAACTAGCCACAACAATCTTTGTCAACGACCATATCACGTTGAAAACACCGGTTCTCGTCCGATCACCGAAGTTAAGCAACGTCGAGCGTAGTTAGTACTTAGATGGGTGACCGCTTGGGAACGCTATGTGTTGTTGACTTTTTGTTCCTGATTCCTTGAATTTTTAAATTTTACAACCTGATTCAATGACTTTTCTTTTGAATATTCCATTATTTTGTATATAACAAGGCTGAGAAACTGCTTAAGAAGTGGAACTAGCAACAAAAACCTTTGTCAACGACCATATCACGTTGAAAACACCGGTTCTCGTCTGATCACCGAAGTTAAGCAACGTCGAGCGTAGTTAGTACTTAGATGGGTGACCGCTTGGGAACGCTATGTGCTGTTGACTTTTTGTTCCTTTTTGCTTCTGATTCCTTGAATTTTTCAATTTTACAAGGGGCTGTTCACTTATTACGCAACGCGAAAAAATGACTTCTTAGACCCCCCCCCCCCCTCGTAACAAAATTTGTATGAAAAAAAATTTCCTTGTTTGAATCGTAACAAAATCTTAGACCCCCCTCCCGCTAAAAGCGTTACGTAATAAGTGAATGGCCCCCAACCTGATTCAATGACTTTTCTTTTGAAAATTCCATTATTTTGTATGAAACATGGCTGAGAAGCAGATAAATTATATACGTAAACTGGATATATATTTTAAGTTCTTAGTTCCATAAGATTCATTGTGATTTTTTGATATTTTATTTACCTTTTGATCCACGGATCTCAAAACATGTTTATTTGCTCAAAGTGCCATTAGCATTTATAAATTCATCATTTGACCTTTACATTGTGAAATTACCTTTGTAATAAAAGAAGCGTATATTACGTAAAGAGTATCTCCGTGTCATCTTCGTTTTATTAATAAAAAAATATTATTTACAGGGAATATTTGAATAAAATAATAGTAAAATTATCCATAAAATAAAAATGATCAGTCATAATATCTCTTCTTCATTGCTCGATACTTCTTCAGTGCATATAAAGTCTCGATTTCTTTCTTCACATACTCCCCTTTCTCAATCATTTCCTCGATCTTTTTTGGGTCGGTCTCATCTTTATTCCTATTTTGGCAATAGTATAAATTATTAAAAATTATGATCGTTGTAAAGTTAATGTTTGGTGTTGTTTTGGGCAGTTTTTTAATCCAGAGTTGCTCGATCATGTGATTGAGTTCTACTAAACTACTCAAAAATTGACAAAATGTATTTTTGATGACGCATCATTCGGCTCAAGGTCATGTAACGTCAAGTGTCAAAATGCAAGCTATGTCACTGTATTCTATGCATTGATTAAGAATTCAGATTATACCACTTAACTTTTTAAGCTGATTAAGGTCAGTCAAAATAATTTTTAAAATGAAAAGAGTGTCAATCAGACAACTCCGAACTTAAACATTCATAATATTTACAAATAGACTTTTATCATTTGATCTCTTACCTTAAAAAGGCTTTTTTGCATCCAATTTGCATTTTCTTTGCATCGGCTGGATACTCTTTAAGTAAATATTGTAGATTTTTGTACAGAGCAATTACTCGATTCTTTTGTGACATTTTAATGATTAAAACTAATAAATCTTAAAGGAACTAAAAATTCGAAATGAAAACAATATTATGGATGTATTAAATGAGTTAAAATTCTAAAATGTGACGCTTTTAAAAGCACTGATCATCTATTTTGAATTAGTTTACAATGATCATGCTCGGTTTTGTGTCTGAACTTCTTTGCAAGATTTTAAAACTTTCCAAAACATTTGAAACTTAAAATTCATCATGCTAATCACGAGATTCAGAAAGTTATTATGAAAATGATGTAAATACGCATTATTTAAGTACAAAGTGCAGCTAGACATCGCTATTATCACTCAGAACATGCTAAAAACAAGAAGAAACTTATCAGGGTTGAGAAATTTTGAAATTCCTTAAAGAATCTTGATTTTCTAACATAAACCGAAGCTTAAATCATCAAATAAATGTTTAAAGAAGTTTATTTATAAACAAAGAAACATTAAAACTTGTTAAATCGCCAAAATAATGTAATTAAAAGAATTTCAACATAAGTCGTTATTTTAACGAATTTAAAAAATTTGAAAATTCAAGCGGCATGAAACTACATTCAAAAGTTGACAAAAAAATTTCTCCGTTTTCATCAAAAAAAATTAATTCATGATTTTAACTGGCAAACTACTGAAATATGGAGAAAAATAACAGTGCAAATAACAACTGCCGGTTCTGCCTGCGAATATTTGATGATGATAATGATGAAAGGATAGTTATAACATCACAAATATCTGAAGAATTCAGGAATATCACTCAAACCGAGGTAACAAACACAAAAAAAGAAAAATCATAAATCTTAATGTTGTGCTGCTTTATGCTGCATTAGAGGAATTGAATTGATTGTTTATGAACAAATGGATTGATATTAATTGAATCCAGTAATCCAGTATTGAAGAGCTTTATCGAATTACATTAAAATTCGTTTTTCAAAGCAGTCAGCATAATATTTACTCAGATCCAGTATGAAGGCATCAATAATTTAATTTTATTATTCTTGTGTCCTTTTTAGTTGAAAATGCAACCTTTATATTCAAACACTATCTGTATTAAGTGTTTCGATAATGTAAAGAACTTTTGTCAGTTCCGGAAAGAGCTTATAAACAATCAGGCAATATTATATCAAGTTTTTCATGATGATGAGACCTCGAAAGAAGAAGAAAATTTTATAGATATATCGCAGGCGGTGAAAATAAAATTGGAAGTGTCTGAAAATGATTCTTATCATTCAAATGCAATGAACTTTGATTCAGAATCACACGATCAGGATCAAGATCAAGATACAGAACAAGGCGGATATAACTATCAATTTAAAATTGAGGGACACAATCCAAATTATGAGGGAATATACAGTAAGTCCTACAAAGATAAACTATCGAGCTTAATTAAAACATTTTCATAATTAATTTTAGATTCTTGGGGATTTGCTGACATGCAGTCAATGTCTTCTTCTGGACATCCAGCAAAAACTGTCATTAAACGAAAACCCCGCAATCCATTAGCCGATAATCCAAGAGAGAAACAGTAAGTTGGGCAACAAATTTACAAAAATAATTAGCAAACTTGTGCTAGTGCTAACTGCTGAAAATCATAACATTTGCCTACAACTTATGATCTATATGCAACCGAGTAACACACAACTAATTGAAATTCACAATTTGATTTACAGAAAACTTTGTGCAGATTGTGGCAAATCATTCTTAGCTTCATATCTGCGTCGGCACTATCAACGAGTTCATCTAAAAGAGAAACGATTCGAGTGCGACCTTTGTGGATTACGAACATTCAAAAAGCAGCATATTGAGGAACATTTGAAGCGTCATTTCAAAATCAAAGATTATCACTGCGATCAGTGTCCGTCTGCATTCACAACAGGTAAAAGCTATTAGCTGTGAAATGCATAGACTATTCTAATACTACTGTTAATTTAACTTTAGGTACCGAGCTTAAAATCCACATCAAGAATGTCCATTGCGACGATCGTCCATTCAAGTGTGATCACAAAGGATGTGATTCGGCATTTAAGCAGAAAGAGAATCTTAAAGAGCACATGTTACGTCATACGCAGAAAAAGAACTTTGTTTGTCTCGTGTGCGATAAAGGTAAGCTAAAAATAAAGGATATAAAAAAAGTAGTGGATGTGCTCATAAATTCATTTCCATTCCAGCATTCTACAACAATTCAAGTTTGAAAGCGCATCAAATAATCCATACAGGCAATCCTCACATACCATGTCATGCATGCGGTAAATTATTCTTCTCGAAGCAAGCACTTAAGCTACATCATTTGCATCATCATCAAGCACCAACATTGAAATGTGAACAATGCGATAAAATGTATGTACTATTTATAGGACTGTAAGGAAGAAGAGATTATTTAATTTTGCAATTTTTACTGCCATTTTTCAGGTACTTTACGCAATCAGAATTAAATCATCATATGAACTCTCATTCAAATATTAAAAAGTACCAGTGTCAATATTGCAGTAATCAGTATATGGCCAAGAACCATTTAAATCGTCACATCTCAACGGTTCATATGAAAGCGAAAATTCGATGTCAAGTTGTTGGATGTACATCCGATTTCCCACGAAAGGATCGATATCGAGCACACATTTTGTCCCATCATCAAAATCTAGGTCCTGATTTTGTCAATCAACTGCTTAATGGAATCAAGGATGTACCGGTTGAGTTTTCAAATCAGAATTTCCAGTTGGCGTAAAGCTACACAAAAATTAAATTATTCAAAACATGAACATACATCTTGTCGGCATTGTCTCTGTTTTAATCCGTTTTTATAATGACTAATATATAATTTGTCCAAATACCATTTAGAGCGCACTTTTAAGACACTGAATGTCCTGCATATTTATTGATATCAGGTTAAAGAAAGTCACTTAACATTTCTAGTTTACTCCAAAGTTTTTGTCTAGATCAGATATTATGAAAGTTTGTCAGGACCTCTTTGACATTTATGCTTGAAATTGTTCACAGATCCTTCGTAAATGACCTCTATTAAAAGTTTACGAGCTCTTGGCTATCAAAAATTTGTTTCGACTTTAAAACATCCAGCTTCAGTTTTTAGATGAAGCTTTTGGAATTTAATGACAATATAAGCAAGAGAAAAGGAGGAAGTGCTTGGATTTAGTATAATGCCTTACTGAACAAGCGAATGAACCCTAAATATAGCATAAAGTCCTGAACGTCAACAAGTACAAACTATGCAGCTATTCATAAGGCTTAGACACTCAATCTGTACAATATCTTCAATTTTCAGATGAGTGTCTAAGCCTCGATTGATTATGGGGCCCGTCAAAAATAATAGCAATTTCAGTTTAACGGTTTAGTAAAATTCAAAAATTTCTCATATTTTCGAGCAAAATTACCAAAACTTTAATCAGCTGAAAATCTAATTAATACTCGTGAATTTGTAACTTTAACTCTTTTAAAACACAAAATAGACGTTTTAATTATGTTTTCAGCAATTTTCGAAGAAATAAAATTTTTTTGTTGACTAAAAACATACAAGAAAATTCAAAAAAATGATATTCGTTACAAGATTTTGAAACTTAAAGTGTTAATTTAAGTAACTTCCAATCATTTTGTTGATAAAAATGATAATTTGAATGAACAAATAGAAGAAATAGCACAATTTGGTACAGAAAAACTAAAATTTAAGCTGGGAATAAATAAGTTATGAAAGGTTGTTTACACTCAAAATACCCTTTCCCGATAATTCTACGTCATCGGTGGACGGGCCCCTTATGCAATGCTAAAATAACAGCACTGCGTCCTTACACAAAACTGCGAGATGTCCTATGATTTTTCAATCGACAATAAACTTGACAAAATTTACAAAATTAAGAATCTTGACTGATTCCTCGAACAAATTTGCTATTAAACCTTATTTTTTTGCAACTCTCTTCAACCTTCAAGTGACTTGGCACAGAATTGGACAGACAATTGAATCAGCTTAAAACTGCGCTCTAGCCATCGTTTAAGATGACTGTTTTAAAATGTCTTACTCTAAATTACAAAAACAAGGACGAAATTTTTCAGTTTTTGATCTTTTCCCAATGATTTTAGTTATTAAATAAGAATTTGTATAATACTTAGTATGACTCATTGTTCTGATGGGGATAATTTTCTGTAGATTTGTGCACCTTAATTAATTTCATTTTCTTACTAAATTTATCATTGAATTAAAATTGAAGAAAATAAAATTAATTTAAAAAATATAAGATAAGTAATTTCTCATGCAAATTTAAGAGAAAAAAGAAATAATAAATCATAATTATTAAATTAAATTTGTAGATGGTATACATTTGCATGATCAATAAAAAATATAAAATAAACACAAATATAAGTGCATCAAAAATTATTGAAAACAAAAAAAAAAAACAAAAAATTAAATGATTGTAATTTTTTTAAAACATTGAACCCCCTTTAAATAAATTGCTGGAAAATTGGAATTAGAAGTTATGTATGAATGTGAGTTTTTCATTATTCCAAAAACAATTTATTTTCAAGGTATTGCCGTAGCTTCCCTTTCTTCAATTTCTTTCCCCCTTCCCACTTATTTTTTCACCCCTCAAAAAATTCTTGACTACGCGGTTGAAGTAAGGGGTAGTAGTCAAATGTATTCTTATGAAGGTAGTCAAAAACATGATTTTTGAACCATCTCCCCCTTTATTTCCCCCCCCCCCCCCTTCTTTCGAAAATATCCCTAGGAAGAAGGAGGGAATCTTTGGTACTGGAGATCCTCAATTTGAGTAGATTCGATTTGAGTAACGAAAATTAACTTGCAATAGACATCTGGAACAAAACACCTATTCAAATCGAGGACCCCCCATCAATTCGTAAGGAAAACTACATATGAAAAAATTGAGAGAAGAGGGGGGGGGGGGTTGTTTTCAGGATTTCAGGATCTATTCATAAAATTGTAGTAAAATGAAGAAATTTATACTGACGATTGGGCGTAGCCAAAAGGGGATTAAGGAATTTGCTAGGGATCATTTTGCTAGGGATTTTATCGAAAAATCCTAACCCCCA